GAAAGAAGTACTGATAATATATATTTAAATATTGCAGCACACGGAGAGTTCCAACTGTTAAAATGCTGTTTCATTTGCCATAAGGTTGGGGAATTCCTGAGGAGGGGGGAGTGTGAGTGCATGTGTGAAAGTAGCTTTATTGTAGGGCAATGCATCTCTGTAACATTTATAATGGTGCCTCCCTCTGTTCCCAGGGAAGATGGCCAGATGGCCGTGGTGGATGTCTGTGCTTACAACTTTAGCTTAGATAACATATGGGTGATTTACAGGTGGGGGGGTTAGGTGCCCACTTGTTAGATGGGAATGTATGAACTGTGTGATTGGTGGGCATGACTTTTGAACCCTGTATAACTGGGGGGGGGGGAGTTCACACCAGAATTTTAATTCTGACTCAACCACGTCTTAGCTTGGATCATCTTTGCTCTTCAATAAACAAATCACTTTCAGTTGGTGTGGTTGAGGGTCATTTTGTCCAAGAATTTGACATAGAGTCAGAACTAAAATTCTGGCATGAACACCCCCCCCCCCCAGTTATACAGGGTTCAAAAGTCAGAAATTCTCAGGGACTGAGAGGAATTGGGTGGTGTGGGACAAAGAGGCTGCAGCTATAAAACTGGCATTCACAACCTGGCAGCACTGGCTGGAGGAGACCCGAGTGCCGTTTGAAGTTTGGACTGATCATAAAAACCTTGAAGCCCTGCAAGCCCCCCAGGGCCTCAATGCCAAACAGTTGAGGTGGGCAGAGTTCTTTTCTAAGTTTTGTTTCACCCTAAAACACTTCTCTGGCAAATCGAACTTCCTGAACTATGCCTTACTCAACCACATTTTAGCTTGGAACATCTTTGCTCTTCAATAAACAAATAATTTACAGTGAGTGTGGTTGAGAGTCAATTTGTCCAAGAATCTGACACCAACTAAGAATAGCAAGCCAGTTATCAGCTGGTCCACAGCAGTGAGGAAAAGTAGAGTTACATTTAATGAGCACAGTGTACATAAGCAGATCTTGTAATATTTTGTATACACTTAAACCTTTGTATATGAAGTACCTGTCATCATAATACAAAAGTATGAAAGATAGCCTAAAACAATGTAATTTACTTCATGGTGGAATACCTGATAGAACCCTCCAATTAAAAGGTGAATGGTGAGGTTCTGCAGTCAGACTGTGACTTCTGACTGCAGCCGTGGTGTGTGGTGTGACTCTTGCTTTGCCCCAGTGGGCCCAGAATTCCATGGCTCAGTCATCAAATGGGTTTTGTGAAGTCACAACATACTATATTTAATGAGAAATAAGGCAATAAATAATTGTCATGTAGATCTTTAAACTTACAGGCTGCACGAAAAGGGACTCCCAATTTCCCCTGGATATTATTGACTAACACAATTTGACCAGTTCTCCTGGAGATCATGTTGGGAAGAAGAGCTGAAGGGAAAAGATGGCAGAAAATTAGTGTTAGATTAATTATTTAAACTTCATAGCTAGTGTTAGTTCTCAACGCCTGGATCACTTAAAATCAATTTCAAAGAAACAACATATATAATCAGGGGTCAATTGAATATTTTTAAAGATCCGTATAGTACAAACAATTGATATAATGCAGTCTCTGCCTAGAGAGGATGAAGTATATATTAGATAAACAAGTGTAGAGGTTGGGGGAACAGACAGAGATTACATAAGAAGTGTTTTGTGAGATCGCATCAAAGACCATCTTGTTTAGCACAGATGTGTGCAAACTTTGTCCCTTGAATTCTATGGATGTTTCCACTTTCCTGCATGCTAGCTGTGGGTAATCCTTGCAATATAATTTGCAATCTCTTTGCACATCTACATCACAAATTTCCATGTATTTTCTGAACCATTTTTTAAAGCAGCAGCTGGACTCACGAAGCACGTGATGCATATTCATTGACTTAAAGCAGTATCATATAGCCCATTGAGAAGCACATCTCCAATATCGCTCTACAGAACATGGATGTATAATTATCTGAAATTGGCTTGAAGCCATGCTACTGATAAGGACTTTGTGAACATAAACCCAGCTGGGGATATGTATGTTATCTAAAATTTAGACTGAAGAGAATTCAGAAGATGGCCTACTTGCTATAATTCCCCATGGCTGTACATGAGCAAACACATTGTCATCTCCTTTTTCTTGGTGCTTGGATGGGCAACAGTGGGAGGGCTTCTGGTGTTCTGGCCCCACTGGTGGACCTCCTGATGGCACCTGGTATTTTTGGCCACTGCATGACGGAGTATTGGACTGGATGAGTCATTGGCCTGATTCTACATTGGCTTCTCTTATGTTCTCTGATAAGAACATTCAAAATATTCTTGAATGTGCCACATAGCTGAGGCATATTGTCACAAAAGCAGATGTGTGCTATTCCTGTCAGAGACAGCAAATATTTATGGCATCCCTAGTCCTGCATTCTGTCTTTAACAGAAGATAGCCAGTTGCCTCTGGAAGTTTTTTTTTAAAAAAGGGCACAAAGGTGTAATTAGTGTGAGGTTGGTAGCTGAACCCTAATAGGCCAACACAGACAGCTAGGTTGAGACCCTGAAGTCATACAGAGGCTTCGGTCACACGAACAGTTTGCTGTGATATAGTAGTGTCACCTGTGTGGATTTAAAGAGCACAATCAGAAAACAGCATCTGCCTTCCATGCCCCAATCATTGACACCCCAGGTTGCCCCACTATGGAAGTGGAATAATCAGAGATGGGGGGGAAGTCTGGTATTAAGGAATGCCAACACTTCCACCCCATATTTTCCAATACCTGAACCCTGTGTTGTGAAGTCAAGCTGTTTGGGAAGTCATAACTTTTCCTTCCTTTGGTTTGCTTGCTTGTTTTTAGATTGGGTAGTTATGTGTGCATAAGTGCACAATCGCCCCTGGCATTGTCAATCACCATGGCCAAGTAGTACTTGCTTGAAAGTGAAGCTTGCTTGTTGTACATGCTTTGAAAAGACACTGCCCAGCATGTGGTGCATGACAGTGAGGAAAAGAGGGGGGGCATGGAATCCTCAGTTTTCTAAATTTTATGAATTACTGTGTTGGGAGAATCTTGACTGTGGTGTGTGATTCTTCATTAAGGCTGCAGTCACACTGGAGGCTTGGCAAGATGAGGGCCGGTTCTATCATTAGGCCAACCTAGGCTACTGCCTAGAGCACAGGCATCAGAGGAGTGCAGAACTGACGCCAGCAATGGGGGCAACAATGGGGCAGAGGCGAAGGAGGGAGGCAGGGGGGAGATTTGTGCAAAGGACAATGAGACCCAGGCAGCCAATGAGAAAGGCCCGGGTGCTGAAGTATCTGTTGCCAGATAGAAGAGCCCCAGAACGCAGCCCAAGCAACAGATAAACGGAGATGCACAGAGCTGCTGCGTAGTATTGGATCATCAGACCACTGCTGGTCCGTCAGTCCTGAAGTCTGTCGGGAGGGCAACGAAGACAATGAGAGGTTTGGAAATCAAGTCCTATGAGGGAAGGTGGGCGGAGCAAGTACATGGCCTACAAGATCAGGTCTCAGAGGGTAGGTGATTCTACAGGGCCACAGCTCAAAAGGCTCTGACCCAAGATCTAATCAATTTCACTCCTGGACTGGAAAGGACTTTTCACTGGAGATAAAAAGAAACTTCCTTATTGGTTAATAACTTATAGATAAAGGCAAGCTGAACAAGAGTGGGAAGAAACCCAGATAAATGTTTAGAGGTGCTCATAGAAATGGAAAAAGAGCACTGGCCCCCGGTCACACGGGCCGGATATCGTGGGGGGGGAGGCGTGGCTAATTGCCCCGGGGGAAACTAACGTGTGGCCGCTCAAGCACACGTCCCGGTCAAGGTCCCGTGGTTAGGGGGGGAGATGCCAACCAGACGGGTATCCTGCAGCGTGGCACAGAAGCAGTGCCACGTGATCGCACTAGCAATCGCTCTTTGTGCGCATGTGCTGTTCGGCGCTGTTGCGCAACCTGCAAAGACTTGAGAGACAAAAAAATCCCTTGTGTGCGACGAACAGCAGCGGGCGCCGGATGCCACGTAAGTCCACCGGAAACGTGATCAGGTGCTCCTGCTGACCCATAATGCTGGATATAGACTAATTCATGTTAGTAATCCCGCATGTATCAATGGGATTTAAAAATGCCTATGCTAGTAGAAATAATTAAACATCAGAGCTCATGACACTACGGACGTAAATAGGTTTCTCTTCACCCTGGGTCCTGTAGTTCTTTAGGGAGGGTAGGAAGCTGTATCACAAAATTCTTATCATCTTTGCTAAACTACAACTCCCAGAATTCTTTGGAGAAAACCATGAAAATTAATAAAGAACAACAGTCTGTAATATATATGTGTCTGGAATGTGCAGCAGGACCTTAAAGGAGCATTGTTCCATGTAATACCTTTGGTGAGTGTTATAGGTCCAAAATAGTTGGCATCCATAATCTTTTGATCAACTTCCAGGGAGATATTCTGCACTGCTCCCTTCACCTTTGCACTAGCATTGTTAATTAGTACATCAATACATCCATAGCAGTCAAGGATTTCTTTAGCTACATCTTGGACACAGTTTACATCGGAGAGATCTAGAAGGACAAGCTTTGGTGTAAACGTCTACAAAAGAAACAGCACTTTGTTATTGCAGCATACCATAACTGTAGCAAGACGTTGTTTCCACATTCTGTTTGAAGAGGAAGACAATATATAAAAGCAGATCAACTTCCATACATTTTAGAAAGCAGGTCAATTGAGGGATCATTTGCTTTAATGTCCATCTAGTCACTTCTATGTATAATACTATGTCTAGATTTACCAGACTGGACTACCATGAAACAAATTTTAAATGATTGTTACAGCAAACCAAACACAGGGATGTACTCAAGTGGACACTATTGTGCAAGCATTGTAAATATAGTTAGCTTCAACTCCTTTGATCAAGGTGGCAGTTTTGATAATCATGGAACTTGTTGCTGACTATATCCAGACTTGCCCTGTTGTCACCTTGCATAACTGCCTGACCTCATACCTGGCTCAACTGGTTGGACAAATATGCATTGCATGAAATGACCCTTTAAAGCACAGTAAGAAAGACCACATGCATGCTTTTATGAAGTACACAAAGAATGCTTGTGTGTTATATCTACTGGTTGTTTTAAAATTGGCAGTGTGACATCCACCCTGAACTGTTCCCTAACTATGCTTCATAATGTATGGCCTGGTCACTTGTTTAAACAATTCAGAGATGTCTTATTGAAGTTACTTATTCCTTATTCAAACTGCATGTCTGATAAGATGTACCCTATTAACATTGCTCTCTTCTTATGTCACACTATACCATGAAAGATCATAGGCTACACTTTTTAAAAGAGTGTTATTCTGTTGGATATGATTGTTGCTGCTCTCAGTGTGGCAGGTTGATCTACATGACCTCCACACTTCATCCAATCACCATGTCTTATATTCTGTGGATATCAGGGATTTTTTAACAAGTACCTCTATATCATAATCTGGGGTAGATCCCTTAGCCTGTTCATATGGCAATGAAGGAAGGTAAACACATAGTTTCGATCATATCTCTCACTTCATGCAGAAGAACCCTTTACTGTATACTCACTGCACGAGGATCAGCCACACTGTTTAGAGCATCATAGAGAGCTTCTAACTTGTCCATATCTTTACCACACAGAACTAGTCTAGCTCCACCTGTGTGAAATACTCGTGAGCATTCTGGAAAGGAAAGCAAATCACAGGGCAGGTTAATGTGACTAGTAGCAACACACTTTTATTATTGTTAATTTGGAAGAAACAGGGACAATACAGTTCTTCTGCACCCATGTGCACCTGTACACCATTGGTTACAGTTCAAACAATGAATCTTCAGACCACTGATAAAATGTTCCATATACTTTGACTACAGCTAATAAGCTACAGAAATAAGCATACCAGCACTTATAATTTGTTTATTCCATGAGGTGTTGCATGTAGCAAGGGCACAGGAACTGCTAAGCTGGCTGCAATGCTGTTTTAAAGATTTGAGAAAACATCCTTTTGTTTCAGTTGCTGTTTCTCCATTGCAGTGAACTGGAGGTACACAAAGCTGGCATATGACACAGAAAAAACACAACATGCAGCTGTTGTTCTAGTTACGATGTATCTGGGTCGTAATCAAAGACACTCGATCACTCTTCCACTCAGATCACAATTTGCTCCCAAGCTGCCCTTCAAAACATTGCTGATGGTTCTCATTCGAAACACAACTGAAAATGTTCTCACAGTCTTTCCCTCATCCCAGTCACTCACCCATCAACTTTGTGTTAAAAACAACCAATAACACATAGTAAAAGTTATTTAATCTTGTTTGACGGGGGAGGGGGGAGTTGTGTGGCTTTTCTTTCTATTCTAGCCTCACCCACTTTGCTTGGTTGACACAATGTTTGGTCCAGATTGCAAATAATTTTCCATTGGATGCTCCCTTTTCTCTCACCCGTCCCTTCACCTAATGTACCCAGCAGGGAAAATATCAACTTCCCAAAGAGATGTTTTCCTCTTATAACGCCATAGAGTCCATCTTCCAAAGCTGCCATTTTCTGCAAAGGAACACATCTTGGTTGTCTAGAGATCAGTTGTAATTCCAATAGAATTCCAAGTGCCACTTGGAGGTTGGCACCAGTGTTCCCTCTAAGCTGAGTCAGTGTGAGCTAGCCCACAGTTTTTTAGCCTCCAGTGCACAGATTCTTGTCTAAGTTCAGGAAGGATCGCTCCAGAGCAAACTAATTTATGCAGCAGACAAATTGCTCGCTCACAACTTTAATTAATGCCAGTAGCTCACAAAGTAGAATTTTTGCTCACAAGACTCCACAGCTTAGAGGGAACATTGGTGGCACCCTACTCCAAAAGTTAAGCAGAGGCTGGTGGCATTTTTAGAAAAAAATTCACCCCCACAGTGGGCAATAGTGACTATTGGCACGAGGCCTCCTGAAATAACTGAACTAACAATCTCAACTCTTTTTTTTTTTTAAACTCTGCCGTTAGAAGAATTCATCACAAAGCAACTAACACTGTGTGAAAAATCAGGCAAGGAACTATGCAGATGAGTTAGAATAGACATCTATATACTAATTCTCAACAGTCCCCTCTGCGTGCAGATACTTATTTCCACAAACAGAAGGCGCACTCTCCCTCAACAGATTTTTCTACATACTCAGGGGACTTTCTGGGACTGCAGAAAAATCCAAAAAAAGTTTTTTTTAAAAAAAGCTTGGGTAGGATTGAATCCCCCCCCCCATACGTTTTGAAATGGCCACTGCATGGTTTTACTCCAGGCCCCACCTCCATTGACTGAGAGATTAGGATGTTGGGGGAGAGGCTTCTAGCTGGTTCTTTCAGTAAAAGGCAGGGGAAGGGGGAAGGGCCCTTTCCAAGCCCACTTTGGCCTCTCAGGGAGGGATCTTTAGGGCCCAGCCTAACAAAGGTTGACTGTGCTAGGCTGGGAAATTTCCAGAGATTTTGTGGTGGACTCTAAGGAGGGCTGGGTTTGGGTAAGGGAGAGGCCTCAGCTGCATATAATGCCACAGAGTCCAGCCTCCAGAGCAGCCATTTTCTCTAGGTAGACATATCTCTGCTGTCTAGAGTTCAGTTGTAATTCTGGGGGATCTCCAAGCCCCACTTGGTGGTTGGCAACCCTAGGTTTGGCAGCAACTTGATGCCATCTCACTTTCATGACTCAAGTAGGCCCGACTGTTTGCTACTGTTCATCAGTGGCCACCCTATGAAAACCAGTGTGATGTAACAGTTAGAGCTTCAGATTAGGCACTGCAAGACCCAGGTTCAGATCCCCATCTTGCGGTGGAAGTTGACTGGGTGATTTTGAACCAGTCACACACTTTCAGCCTAACTAACCTCACAGGGTCGAAGGGTCATTGTGCAGATAAAAATGAGGAAAGAATAATGTAAGCTGCTTTGGTCTCCACTGTGGAGAAAGACTATAATTTCCCTAGGTACATGCTGTGGGGGAGGGGGGGGAGATGGAAAGCTGAAGACAGAGAGGCAGATGAAGGCAGGTTGGCTGTTGGCTGGGAAGGAAATAGGGTTGTCAACTCCAGGGTGGGAAATTCCTGGAGATTTGAGTGGTGGAGCCTGGGGAGGGTGGGGTTTAAGGAGGGGAGGAACTTTAGACCAGTATAATGCCATAAACTCCACCCTCCAAACCAGCCATTTCCTCCATGAGAACTACCATTGCCAGCCTCCAGGTGAGGGCTGGAGATCACCCAGAATTACAACTGTTGTCCAGGTGACAGAGACCAGTTACCCTGGATAGAATGGCTGCTTTGGAGGGTTGAGTCTATGGCATTATATCCTGATGAGGCTGCTTCCATCCCCAAGCAGCCCCATAGCTAACAACTTTTTGCTTGGGGGGCCAATGTTCTTCTCGGGGGTCCTGCCATTATATGTCTGTGCAGTACTGCCATGCCATGCTCATACTTCTATATAATAACTAAATAATAAATACAAGTGGTTTATTGCACAAAAAATGTTTCAGGTTTATTATTTATTATTACAGTAATAGTTTATATGATTGGGAACAATTTTTTTCTAACAATGTATTCATATCGATTTGATTTGTGAGTGATTTCTCATAACCAAGCAGCACTAGATTGTTTTTCCGGAGATGGGACATTGTCAACCTCTGTGGTTGTAAAACATGAGTAAGGAAGGAGAATGCCGACTCTCATGTAGTGGTGGAGGCTCCAAAAGTCACAGCAGCTGCAACAACTCTGTATACATTGGGGAATGTGCCTTTATAGGAAAATAGCACAGTAAGAGCATTATGGATGCTGTTCATTCTCTGGCTATATTTGAACCTTGCCTGCCATTCTAATGTATTTGATAAAATGTGCATACACATGAAAGCTCATACCTTGAATAAACCTTTGTTGGTCTTAAAGGTGCCATTGGACTCTAAATTTGTTGGCCTATATTCCTTTACTCTTAAAACTTTGTTAACTTAACTTTAACAGTTTAGTAACCTGACCAATTTGCCAAGAACAAAATATGCAAGAGTAATATATGTCTTTAAAATGGCCAGACTGATACAATTTTTTTAAAAATGCATTTAATACAGAAGTATAAGGAAGGGACGAGCTGCGGTGGCTCAAGTGGTTAAGACGCTGAACTGCAGGCTGTGGAAGGTCAGTAGTTTAGCAGTTCGAGACCCGGGTGCCAGACGGAGTGAGCTCCCGTCTCTAGTTCCAGCTCCTGCCAACCTAGCAGTTCGAAAGCAAGAAATTGCAAGTAGATAAATAGGTACCACTTTGGTGGGAAGGTAACAGCGTTCCGTGCGCCTTGGTGATTAGTCAGGCCAGCCACATGACCACGGAAATGTCTTCGGACAGCGCTGGCTCTTCGGCTTTGAAACGGAGATGAGCACCGCAACCCTAGAGTCAGATTTGTCTGGCTTTCGAGCAAGGGAACCTTTACCTTTATAAGGAAGGGAAACAAAAGCAAGGGAGGCAGATTCACTGGAAATATCCCCCCCATCCACCCCCATCCTCACAGCAACCAAGGTACGTAGAGCCAAATCAGCTTTGCAGTTCCAACTAGAGAAGCCCAGAATTGAAGCAAGGGCCAAACCAAGGTCCACAGCAGGCCACGCTGAAAACAAAAGCGAGGGAGCAGATTCAGTGGAAATACCCCCCCCCCCAATCTATTTCCATCCTCACAGCAACCAAGGTACTTAGAGCCAAATCAGCTTTGCAGTTCCAACTAGAGAAGCCCAGCACTGAAGCAAGGGCCAAGCCAAGTCCCACAGCAGGCCACGCTGGAAACAAAAGCAAGGGAGCAGATTCAGTGGCAATACCTCCCCCCCCAAAATCCACCTCCATCCTCGCAGCAACCAAGGTTTTGTTGTTGTTCAGTAGCACAGTCGAGTCCGACTCTTCGCGACCCCATGGACCATCTCCCGCCAGGCCCTCCTGTCTTCCGCCGTCTTCTGAAGTTGGCTCAATTTCATGTTCGTTGCATCGATGACACTGTCTAACCATCTCATCCTTTGCCGTCCCCGTCTTCTTTGACCTTCAATCTTTCCCAGCATCAGGGTCTTCTCCAGTGAGTGCTCCCTTCTCATTTGGTGGCCAAAGTATTTGAGCTTCAGTTTCATTATCTGGCCTTCCAGGGAACAGTCAGGGTTGATTTCTTTGAGGATTGACTGATTTGTTCTTCTTGCAGTCCAAGGGACTCTCAAGAGTCTCCTCCAGCACCATAGTTCAAAAGAATCTATTCTTCGGCGCTCGGCCTTCCTTATAGTCCAACTCTCACAGCCATACATGACTACTGGGAATACCATTGCTTTGACCATGCGGACTTTTGTTGGCAGGGTGATGTCTCTACTTTTTATCATGCTGTTTAGGTTCGCCATCACTTTCCTCCCAAGGAAATCTTTTAATTTCATGGCTGCTGTCACAGTCTGCGGTGATCTGGGATCCCAGGAACGTGAAGTCTGTCACTACTTCCACGACTTCCCCTTCTATTTGCCAAGGAGTGATGGGGCCGGATGCCATGATCTTAGTTTTTTTGATGTTGAGCTTCAAGCCCACTTTTGCGCTCTCCTCTTTTACCCTGAGCAAGAGGCTCTTGAGGTCCTCTTCACTTTCTGCCATCAGAGTGGTATCGTCTGCATATCTGAGGTTGTTGATCTTTTCCCCAGCAATCTTAATTCCCGCTTGTGATTCATCCAGGCCAGCATTTCGCATGATGTACTCTGCATATATATTAAATAAGCAAGGCGACAATATACATCCTTGTCGTACTCCTTTTCCTATGCTAAACCAATCAGTTGTTCCATATCCGGTTCTAACTGTCGCTTCTTGGCCCTTATACAGGTTTCTCAAGAGACATGTGAGGTGGTCTGGTACTCCCATCTCTTTAAGGACCTGCCATAGTTTGTTGTGATCCACACAGTCAAAAGCTTTAGCATAGTCAATGAAGCAGAAGTAGATATTTTTCTGGTACTCTCTTGCTTTCTCCATAATCCAGCGAATGTTGGCAATTTGATCTCTAGTTCCTCTACCTCTTCGAAACCCAGCTTGTACTTCTGGTAGTTCTCTATCCACGTACTGTTGAAGCCTAGCTTGTAGGATCTTGAGCAGGTCCTCTTCACTTTCTGCCGTTAGAGTGGTATCGTCTGCATATCTGAGGTTGTTGATCTTTTCCCCAGCAATCTTAATTCCCGCTTGTGATTCATCCAGGCCAGCATTTCGCACGGGCTTTACTGCTATTATATTAAATAAGCAAGGTGACAATATACATCCTTGTCGTACTCCTTTTCCTATGCTGAACCATTTTCCTATGCTGAACCAATCAGTTGTTCCATATCCGGTTCTAACTGTCGCTTCTTGGCCCTTATACAGGTTTCTCAAGAGACATGTGAGGTGGTCTGGTACCCACATCTCTTTAAGGACCTGCCATAGTTT